AGTATAAGTATAAGTATATGTATCTGTATGTGTATATGTGTGTATATGTGTATATATGTGTATATATGTGTGTATATGTGTGTATATGTGTGTATATGTGTGTATATGTGTATATATGTGTGCATATGTGTGTATATATATATATATATATATATATATATATATATATATATATATATATATATATATATATATATATATATATATATATATATATATATATATATATATGTATGTATGTATATATATATGTATATATCTATATGTATATATATATCTATATGTATATATATATCTATATGTATATATATATCTATATATGTATATATATATCTATATATGTATATATATATATATATCTATATATGTATATATATATATATATATATATATATATATCTATATATGTATATATATATATATATCTATATATGTACATATATATCTATATATGTATATATATATCTATATATGTATATATATGTCTATATATGTATATATATGTCTATATATGTCTATACATACACATACATATATACATACATATATACACACACACACACACACACACATATATATATATATATTTCTTATTTATTTATTTATTAAGACTACCACACTAAAATGAAATAATTCAGCTGCAAATCACAATCAAGGGAATATTCCACCACAACTAGTGCTTTACAGAAATTACTGTAAAATCCAATATGTCTTTAAATCCAAAGATATTGTGTTAACCCATTCGCGCCGGGTAAAAATGAACAAAAAATGGGGGAAATGCTGTGTTAATTTTTTATATTTTTTAATGAAATTTCTCTACACTAGATGGCTCTGCTTTACCGGATTTCATTTGGCGGGAAAATGTATTTTTACTAGTGCTATGAATATCGATGGTTATTTTTATTATAAACATTATATTTAATCTAATGTTATAAACATTAGTAACAGGAAAATAAGATAACGCAAATTAATTTCGTAAATTAAAGAAAAGGGTAAACAGACGAGACAGGCAGTACAAGTGCAAGTGGAGCCATCTATGTTTGTAAACAATCAAACAAGTAAACTCAAAGTGGGCCCGTCACGTATAGGTGACACCCGGCGCGAATGGGTTAAAGTCAATATTCTTTTCAGTCTTTACACTTTTTACAAAACTTTATCAAGCATATCAATCTAGAACACAACATCCAAAAGCAAAATGTGAGTCAAAGGAATGTTCCATCAAAATAATAAAAAAAAAATGGAAAAAAAAAAAAAAAATGCTTAAAGATAATGAAACCCAGTAAAGACCATCAAGATACAAGCGACATTTTTAGCCGCTCAAGTCCATAATAATATGCTCCTGGTATGTTGTAGTCATCATAATTGATAAGATAAAATATCCCTTGGAGTCATAACTGCTACTGGAACTGTTGCAATTTGGTGCAATATGCTTTAAAAAAATGTATAACTCAAAAACAAACTGTGGCTGAGGTTATCATAATGTATAGGTATTTGGAGTTTAATTGCAATAGCGTGTATGCTAATGTTGCAAAATATCAGACAACTAATCGTGGTTTTAAAGTAATATGCAATGGCTTAGCATAACGATTTATCAAAAGATTTCGGTGTTAGATATAAACTCTCAACACGAAGCTATTTTAATTTGTACTCTCTGTGCTTAATTCCACCAGAGACATGTGCCATTTCAACACCGAGATGGCAATCCACACGAAATGCATCCTCTCTCGCCTCGGAAACCAAATCCCCTTCAGTAAAACAGCAAAAACATCGGGAAAATATTTGAGCTTCCTCCAGCAAAGCTTCCCTGGAACGTGGCTCGCATCACATCTCGCGTCTCGCATGGCAAAATAACCCCAATAATAGCTGTCATTCATTCACGGAACTCACCACGACGTCCTATACTTACATCACCCATCCACAGTGCACCCTCTCGAGCCATTGTGTCTTCAACGAGGTTTCAGAAAGCGCGAGGAACAGACTTTTGGGATTCTTTATCACAGTTTACTAACATGCGATGGAATACGGCGCTTGAAAACAGAACGTCCGGCGCTTTCTGCCCCCTTTCCCTTGACGCTGAAGATTGGCTTCGTGAGTCGTGCTTACCAAATATTGATAGTAATATTTGATTGTATTTTTCTTTTTTTTTTTACTATAACATATGTTACGATTTTGTGGGTTGTCATATTTTTTATTAGAGGTAAAAATGATGCCATGTTTTGTATTGATTGATTACCGTACGGTAGGTGTAATATTGTAACAGATGTCATCTTATTCATATATTTTTTATATAAATGAAAGGAAAATGAGTTTTCATTACTAAGCATGTGTCTATATACTGTACAAATACGACTATCACATCAATCATAATAATTCAAATTTGTATATACTTGACATAATTTACACAAAATCCCATAAACTGCTTACAATAAAATAAACAATCCTTTGCAATGAATGACTGATAACAAATAAAGTTTCTTTCGGGAAATTAAATCAACCACTAGTTAGAAAAATGAGAGTAAAATGGATATATATTAATTCTTATATAGCTATTCTACATACACTTTTTTTGCGTACAGAACAGAGTTTAAGTTCAAGACAAAAAGTAAGATTAGGAAAAAGAATAAGAGAATGAAGACTTCTCTAGCCTTTGTTTTGTATGTACTTGATTGTTGTTCTAAGAGTTCTGTTCTCTCTTTGTAATGATGGAATGGTTAGCTAAGAACTGCCGTAGATATAGATGGTGCTAAAATGAAGTTTGGTTTTCATGCAATTGGTATATTTATCACTTTTTTTTAATCTTCTCTGTAGAATCACCTAAAAACTCTTTGTCAGAATTGTAATCTTATTTCCGAAAATATTACAGTGTATAGGTGAATGGTTTCTTTACTTTTGTTAATTCTAATTATTTCTCAAAAATGATAAATTGTGCTTTTTACTTTAATTTTTATTCATTTATTGAAAAAAAAAATCTGCCGTGTCATCATCTAAGATCATTATAATGATATCAATGAAGAAAAAAAAAAAGTAAAATAAAATAGGACAATTTCAACATTAACAATATTAATAGTAATACCAATAGTAATGAAAATCAGGGGTACATAGTTAAGGAAGAAAGGATGGTAGATGAAGCAGGAGTAAGAGGAGTTGACAGCACTCCTACACAGGAGGAGGAGGAGGAGGTGGAGGAGGGAGGGGGGAGGAGGAGGAGGGAAGGAGAAGGAGGTGGAGGAGGAGGTGGAGGTGGGAGGGGGAGGAGGGAAGGTGGAGGTGGTGGAGGAGGAGGTGGAGGTGGGAGGGGGGAGGAGGAGGAGGGAAGGAGGAGGTGGTGGAGGAGGTGGAGGAGGTGGAGGTGGAGGAGGAGAAGGAGGTGGAGGAGGAAATGGAGGAGGAGGTGGAAGACGTGGATGAGTAGGAGGTGGAGGAGGAGAAGGTGGAGGTGGAGGAGGAAATGGAGGAGGAGGAGTAGCAGCAGCAGCAGGAGGAGGAGGAGGTGGAGGAGGAGAAGGTAGAGGAGGTGGTGGAGGTGAAGGAGGAGGAGGAGGAGGAGGTAGAGGAGGAGTAGAATCAGCAGCAGCAGGAGGAGGAGTAAAAGGAGGAGGAGGAGGAGGTGGAGAAGGTGGAGGAGGAGGAGGAGGAGGAGGAGGAGGAGGAGGAGTAGAATCAGCAGCAGCAGGAGGAGGAGTAAAAGGAGGAGGAGGAGGAGGTGGAGGAGAAGGTGGAGGAGGAGGAGGAGGAAGAGGAGGAGGAGGTGGAGGAGGAGGAGGAGGAAGAGGAGGAGGAAGAGGAGGAGGAGGTGGAGGTGGTGGAGGAGGAGGAGGTGGTGGAGGAAGAGGAGGTGAAGAAGGAGGTGAAAGAGGAGGAGGTAGAGGAGGAGGAGGAGGAGGAGGAGGAGAAGAAGGTGGAGGAGGTGGAGGAGGTGGAGGAGGAGGAGGAGGTGAAGGAAGAGGAGGTAGAGGAGGAGGAGGTGGAGGAGGTGGAGGAGGAGGAGGAGAAGGAGGAGGAGGAGGAGGAGAAGGAGGAGGAGAAGGAGGAGGAGGAGGAGGAGGAGGAGCAGCAGCAGAAGCAGGGGGACCAGGATATATAAGTCCGATATGCGAAGCTGAGCCTTGCCCAGGCTATGAGGGAGCCCGGCCTGTGTCGACTAATGTCGACTCACTAACAGTGTGTCAGCTGGTGCTGACTCTGCTTAGTCCTTACCCGCTGTGATGCCCTGCCACAGCAGTAACCTCCAGGTGACAATTGCAACTTCTCGTGCCTGGGCGGGGTGTGAACCGCCAACCCCTCGGATGAAAGGCCGACACGTTACCACTGTACTAGCCTGGAGGCTGAGAAGCAGGAGCAGCACCAACAGAACCAACAAAAGAGGATAGGGGGGTAAGAACCATATTTGTGTTGAGAAATGTAGGAAAGTTATGAATAAGAATGAATATGTCTTGTACTACAGAGATATTCATTCTCATTCGTACCTTTTCTACATATAGGGAGGTAAGCCGTGGGATGGCTGAGGCATGGTAGGGGGAGGATGGTAAGGAGGAAAATAAGGAACGCAAAAGAGAAAGAAATGAAAGATGATTAACGATGAAGGAATAAAATGACAAAAAGTCCAGAAAGAAAATGATCCATTTCACAAGGATAATGAAAATCTCTATTCAGTCCATTCTGCTATGTTGATTTTAGAAAATCCAGTTAACAATTACAATGTCTTTGATACCTAATATTTGTTAGTCACAAATACTAATATATAAAATGCTCATAAAACAATTCACCTATAAAAATATAAACTACTGTAACTGCACCTTGGGTTTCATTAACATATGCAATATTTGTTCTGTACAATTACAAATACAATCACAAGATGTGTGCAGTTAACTGTTATATCTAAAGGTCATTTCTATTTATCATGAGTTAGTTTTGACAAAGGGATGAAACATATGGAAACAACATAACTACAAATTGCATTTCTGCCAAGCTAGTATCTAAAATAAATGTTCAAATTATAT